GTTGCATTTTCTTAGTTATTTAATTATTAAATTTTAAAATAGGAAAGACAGCTGCAACTATAAATTTGAGAGAAAAGGAGGACTTAGTGACAATATAGGGAATGACAAACCCACAAGTTTCATCAAATGTTGTAAATGGATTTGTTACTGAGGAAGAGTTACAGACTGATGAACTTTTATCAATAAAAACAAACAAAAAATCATAAAAAAATAATAATGCCAAAAACTAAGATTCAAAACTAAAATAAATTTGAATTAAAAACTTTTGTTGTTGGGTTCCAATTGCATTTTTGTACCAGTGACTGTAAGCTCCTTTCCCCAGACATATTCAAAGTTCTTTGAATGCTTATCATGAAGTGTTGGTTACATCTTTAAAATTTGACTGTTTTTTGGTCCTTTTGAGTTTACTCATCCACATCTAAGGAGTAGTTTCTTATGAAAATGGATTACATTTCATTTTAGGCTCAAGTTAAGCATCTAGTAACTGACTAAACCATTAATTGATTTCACATACTAGTTATTATACTATTAGGAAATAAATTTATTATAAAGAATTAGAAACTAAGTTTCATTCATAACATTTTTAAATTTAAAAATAACTGCTGTTATAGTTCAACAGTTTTTAGGAACAAAATATGAATACTTAAACTTTATATAAAATAAATTCCCTGCATTATAAATGGTGTAATATAGTACTAATATACATTATTGGCAGTTATAGTTCATGTATATTGCAATTTTTTGTTATGCTGGTGATAGTTTTGCATAACATAAATTCTCATAACACAGATGTATCATGTTGACTGTAGGCAGTTTAGATATTGTAGGAAAAATTTAATAGCTATGCTGTATAGAATAGTTACACTTCTCATTGATATTACTCTGAAACATAATCATATATAGCCAGAAGTATTGTATGTATATAGAATTAAGTAACAAATTTAACAGAGCACATAAATATTACATAAAAAATTGGAGGGAAGATTAATTACCAAAGACTATCATAAGCTTGTTTAAAAGGAAATGTCAAAAACATAAAATTTTAAGAAAAACAGAACTCAATGTATTATATTGAATTTGACCTAAGCATTGTAAAGCAAAGAAGACTAACATTAAAAATGTAAGTGACGAGATACATAAAGCACACAGCCTACCTGTAATTAAATAGCTACTTGAGAATGATTTCAATCTTCTGAAATAAACAAACATAAACCAAAAAGGACAAGATTACCAATAGTATTTAGTGTATCTGGCTTGTGCAGTATTTCAGACTAAAATATGCCTATGGGATTTCACCTCACTCATATTGAAGAACTTGGATGAGGGTGTCTGTAGATGTTGATTGTTTCAGATGCATTTGCAGCAGACACTCCAGGACAGCCCATACATGCTTGATAAAGTTCATATCTGGTAATTAATCTGACTGTGGGATTATAGTAGTGCCATGTCTTTTACGCCATTCTTTTGTGACTCAGGCTGAATAAGCAGGATGTCTATCTTACATAAAAACTCTTCTTTGCCTTATAAGTGTCATTGGCATAGACATGTAGAAAGGTTTGCTTGAGACTTGTGTGGTGTTTAGCAGCAATGACCATCATCCCTAAGCATATGCCAGCTGTGATCATCTAGCTGCCAAAATGGTACCTCACACCAAAAAATAAATAGTTATATTATTTGTGGATTGCAGACAGTTTAACAAAAGTTTGTGAGAGGATAGCAGCCAAACCCACGTGTATCCACTATTTGGAAATTGTGTAAATCTGGACTAAGAAAAGAATTACGTGTGTCAAAAGAAAGGAGAGTATGATTGCATGTGTGGTTCCCACAGCTGTCAACTTATTTTCTGGAATGAGGACTGGCTTCCTTTTAGTTACTGTGCCATTGTATCCAGTGTAATGATAACTCTTGATGGTACTTAGAAACAATTGTACTTGTACTGCAACAGTATTGGCGATTTGATGTTGGTTATTTGCACTTCTCACAGCAAACAGTATATTCTGTCCATTTTGGGTGGCTGGGCCATACAGAAACTGTTGCTTTCCACTGTGACTGGAACTGCATTTTTATCCCTATTCACTGAACATGTTTGACCTTTCAGCCATGGGGGTATTATAATGTGATAGTCAATCACACTATTTGTTTGTAAAAGAGTAGCCCAAGAGTAGGTGATGGATAGTGTTGAATAGCTGTCTTCCCTCTACTCTGTCACTGCTAAATTAGGGATGGCTATCATCGATAGCTGTTGTGTAGCTTTGCATGAAATTCATAACCAAACCATACTCTATTCACTGTGCATAGCAGTATAGCAACCAACCTGATTATTTTCTTTCCTATCATCCAACTGTGCAACCTAGTGAAAATATTATTAGTTCTTGGTATTCTTTCATTCACGACAAGGTTGTGTGTATTCTGTGGTCCATACTATATATGTATTTAATGTTGAATTGACTTGCATATAATTTCATGAAGCTTGATTTGCATTCTTATGAGTATTTGTTTACGTATTGGTAGGCTTTGTATATATTATGATATTATGGTTATTTTTGTATATATTTTCATTTTGTGTCTATTTATGGAATTATAAGTTTATGCAATCAAATTTTGTATTATTTTTTTATTTAAATTATTTCCAAATTGTCATATAAATAAATTTAACAACAGAATTCCTTAAACATTATTTATTTGTCTAGTCATATGTAAACATTCTGTGCTATAACTATTGAAATTTCTATGCATTTCCTAACTAAAAGAGACTTAAACTTGAATTAAAGTACTTGTATATTTTTTAAAAATTAAAGATGTTTCATACTTAAAATGTGTGCTATCACATCTTGAGGACAAATATAACTGATTAGCTGATTTTATTGTACCTAATGTTATCAGTTATATTTATTATGTTTGTCACCAAAACAGTCTGATTAGTGTATGAACTCCATAGCTTATTAAGGCTTTTTTTATTAATATCAAACATGTTGAAATATAAACTGAACTATTGTGTTTTTATTATCCAACAGCTTAAGAACCAGTGAGACTAATTATCTGAATGAGGCCTTTTCCTTCTATGCTGCAATTAGAGGAAGAGGGTATTACAGCAAAGCAGTAAAAGAGGAAAGGTAAGATAAGAAAATTTAGAAGAGTTAGAAATTATACTAATTTAACAATCATAATTATTTGGATTTTATGATATCTTGTGAATTTCGTGTAACTTGGCACCAGAACTGTTGATATTAGACCTTATCAACTACGTTGAAAGAGTTTCATAGTTAATAGCATAAAACTTTACAAGCAAAGAGATACACATTTTGTGAGCGATTTTTTTTTATTTACTTTTTTTATTATCTGTAATTCAAATTCATTTTTATTTTTTATTTGCCTAACATTACCTATGTTTGTAAAATAATTTCATATGCTTTCAATAAGTTCTAAATAGACTAATAGTTTAGTACAATTGAAAATGAGGCCAAAATAAAAACATATCTCAGTTGTCTTCACATGACCAACTCAAAAAATTGAACACAAGTCAAAATATTTTCTTGATGATTTTTACATTTTATTTTTCTGTAAATTTCTCTGGGTTTGACTTGATACACATTATAGCTATTGTATCTATCAAGATTTGCTGGATGTTTGAATGTTACAACTATGTTTTATTCCAGCTGGCCTGATGAGCCCCAGTATTCAGTGAAAGGCCTTGCAGATATACTTTCCTTTGCCTTCATTCATGATTTCTAAGAATAATCTAATAACCTAATCTTTCTGCTAACAGTATGATCTCCAAAACATTATTCACATCCAATCTATTACAGTTGATATGGTCTTACATGTTTACACATATCATCTGGCATAAGTTAAGTACAAATTGCTTTTCTTTGTCAGTATTCTCATGGTCACCATCTGGGAAAACCAGGAATGTTTGGATTTCAGTCTTCTAGTCAGGAACTAGCTGAAATTTTGTTAAAAACTGAGAATAAATTGTGAAATTTTGAGTAAATACAGAATTTTCACTAATTTAGTAATTGTCCACAATTTTCCTAGCTTGTTTTTTGGGCTCCATAACATTGCTTCTGATTTACTGGTAGAAAATTTAGTAGCCAGTAGTAGTAGTAGGCTACATGGTTTCACACCATCTGCCAAAGAGGACACAAAGAAAAATTATTTTCAAAACATCTATCAAGTATGAATACGTTGCTTTTATCATTGGGTGAATTTGAATAAAATAGTCTTTACACATTCCTCCACAAGTACAATATGTGGAATATAGCTTATTGTCATTTGGAATAATGATATTGTTGGGAACATTTTGGAGACATGGCACCATTTTCATCAGAAGTTTTGCTCTGTCTTTTGTCTTGGTATGTCATTGTTCCTTTAGGTTTACCCTTCACATGGTATATGACATATATATGTATGTATTACTTCAGCATGACATGACTAAATGCTGTATTGCTAACATTACGAGATATTTGCTTATTATCAGTTTAGTCCATTACAGAGTAATTGGTCAGATCTTGTGCGTCAGACAATACTTGTTTATTTGTATACTAATAAATCATGTTAAAATCCCTATGTCCTCACAAAAAACATGGGGAAAACAGTATTGCCTTTGTCCTCCCATCCAGGTGGTTTTCATCACACTCTAAGATTTTCTTTGATTTTGTTAATCAGTGCACTATCAGGGATGTACCATTTTTATAATATCAGTTTTACATAATGGTAAAAATTAATACAGAACTATTTATTTTACATTTAACCCTTTCTTTGGTAGTCAAATTCATCATAAAAATAGCTCTGAAACAGCATATGCCACTTACATGATAAAATAGCTCTGAAACAGCATATGCCACTTACATGATAAAATAGCTCTCAGACAGCATATATCACTTTTATGATAAAATAGCTATGAAACAGCATATACCGCTTTCATGATAAAATAGCAATGAAACAGCATATACCACTTTCATGATAAAATAGCTATGAAACAGCATATATAACTATCTAGGTCCTCAATCACTTTGATTACATAGCAGTCCTTGAAATTAGGCTGTCATAAGTGTATTGATCAAAACAACACTATGGCAAATGCTATGATCCATTCCCAAAAAAAGTTCTTCCATTTAGACATTCATAATACATGAATGAGGTACAAGGCAAGCATTCTTACCAAGTTAAGAAATGAAAATCTTGCATTAGGTTTTGTATTGATTAAATAATTTTACTGCAATCATAAAATGAAAGGCAGCTTTCCTTAGGCATGGAAAAATACAGTGTAATAGTACTAATAGCTGTGTTTTCAAACATTGAAAGTGTTTTAATAATTTTCTTAACCCTGGGTATCCTTTACTGTGCATGATACAAGGTTTTACTGTCTTACATTCAAAATTTTATTAAACTACTTTTTGTTTATGTTACACAATTAGAATAGCATAAAATCTTAGCTAATAATCCATATTTTAATAGTATACAAATTTTAAGTTCTTAATTATACAAGGCAGTATGAAAAAAATTTGAATTTTCACTAGTGTTACCCACGTGACACATTTATAACATAAAAGTATGAAATTTAACATAAATTACTCTATAAAATTGTTATTGCTCATGATTTTTATAGTCTTCAATTTTGTTTGGTTACAGAGCTATCGAATAGAAAATCAGACTTCTCCTGCTTCACCCACCTGTCACATCCTCTCTTTCACAATTTGTTGATAGTTCCCTCTTATGTTTCATTATATATTACCTATAACCAATAGAAAGTCAAGGTTTTCATCTATCTAATGATGTATTGTATAGCATTGTGTTCTTAATGGAGAAATGTCAATTTCACTCTAGAGTACCAAAATTGTTCCCTTGGGAAAGTTAACGACTAGCTTAGATCAACTTGTAACGGCTCTTGTCTCAT